AGTTGCTAGGAATTCAAGGTAAGGATGGGTAATGTTGATGCATTATGATTGGTATAAGGGCATAGTAGACATATGTTTTGTTGTCTATGTTGATTGATGATGAATGATTTGTGATGAAATTGTTGAGAATGATGTTTTATATGCCATTGATTGATGTTAGAAGATTGTAACCTTAAGTATGTTAACGGTGATTTAGAGATGATGAATTGATGTTGTAATGTGTTTAATTTCCTTGATTCATGTACCATATGATATGATATGTTTTGGGTTTGTTGGAGGTCAAAACTTGGGTTTTGGGGTATGTTGAAAGGCTGAAAAACAAGAGAGATCGCGTAAAATCGCGTGGAAAAAGTATTTTTCTGGGCTCTATTACGGCCTGTAATAGCTATTACGGGTGGTCGTAATAGCCATATAGATTTTCGTACCAGAAACGTGCGAAAAATGAAATTATGGACTAGGAGCATCACAGATCGTAATGGCCATAACGGGTGGTCATAACAGCTCATTGGTTTTTGTACTGTGAAATCATTTTGGCCATAACTTTTGAACTGTAAGTCTAAATCGAGTACCGTTCGAAGCATTGGAAAGCTCATAAACATAACTATAACATATTTTATTTATGCAGCCTGTTTGATTCCTAATTACATGCTTAATATGTTTAAATTGTCTATATTCTTTATTAATGAATTATTAGAATATTGTGATAATGTTGTGGTATGCCTTGTTTCCCATGGTGATGGTTTGAGTGAAGTTACTTTGTTGGGATACACTATGTTGATTATGTTGCTAAGATGTTGTCGTGTCGTTATCGTTGTTGGGATACGTTTAATTGCTCTCAAGTATAATTGATCATGATTTTTAAAAAGGTTTAATTGCAAATTTGATCTCCCTATTTTTTTTTTTGAATTTTAGCCTCTCCATTTTAAAATTCAGAATTTTAGTCTATTTATTTTAGTTTTTTGAGAATTTTAGTCCCCTTGCAAATCTGAAGTCAATTTTTAATAACATGATGCTCACATTGATGACGTGTCAGTGCCAGTTCAGCAGTGAACTATTTAAAAAAGCTATTTTTATTTAAAATTTATATCGTGTTGAGATATTATACCTAATCCAAGTTGTGTAACCTAAGTTCAAGCCTAATTAGGGTTTGTTAGCCTACTTAGTGTATAAGTTAAGTGTATATAAATAGTCATAGTTTGTATCATTATTTAGTAACAATTCAATTCATAATAGAATCTTTATTTCCTTTATTCTTTCTTTCTCTTATCACTAAAAGGACCTCACACACTAACAAATTGGTATCTAGAGCTCCAGTTAGATTCTTGATCGTGTTTTCAATAATCACATGTCAGAGATCGTATTTCCGAGATTGTGGGTTGTTCACCAACAATCACTGAGAAGATGAATGTCAATAATAACATTCAAAATTCTCTTTCAGCTCTTGACGACAAGAATTGAATTCGATGGAGAAAACAAATGCAATCTCTGTTTGACTTTCATGTGACCCTAGAAGTGGTTACTAATGGCGTTCTTGCGATGTATGAAATGTCTAAAAATTATTGTCGACCATAAGGATAATTGACTGTGGCATTTGAGGTTTGGACATTTGAACTTTCGATCACTCAATCTGTTGATTACTCAAGATATGGTAACTGGTATCCCAAGTCTTGAGATACTTGACAAACTATGTGAATGTTGTTTAATCGAAAAGCAATTCAAAAATTCCTTCGTTTCAACTATGCCAATGAGATCATCCTGCATATTCGAAGTGGTACATTCAGATTTATGTGGACCGTTCGAAGAACATACATTGATTGAACATATTTTGTTTCATTTTTCGATGAGTTTAGTCGAAAGTTGTGGATCTATGTGATCAAAAGAAAGGACGAAGTAATTGAAATATGTAAGAGATTTAAGATACTTGTCGAAAACTAGAGTGAGAAGAAGACCAAAGTTTTGCGAACAGATACATGTGGCGAATACACATTCAAGATGTTTGAAGATTTTTGTGCAGAATATGGTGTCGATCATGAGGTAACTTCTCCTTATACGCCTCAACATAATGGAATTGCAGAAAGAAGAAACAAAACCATATTGGATATGGCGAGATGCAAGTTGAAGCAGGAGAATTTTCCAAATCCTTATGGGGAGAAATTGTTTTGACTGCAATTTATATTCTGAACAGATAACCTACCAAGAAATTGAAGAACAGGGTTCCTGAAAAAGCGTGGAGTGAAAAAAGACCATCAGTGAGTCATCTGAAGGTGTTTGACTCTATGTGTTACAAACATGTTCCTGATGTAAGAAGAAGAAAGCTTGATGACAAGAGTGAACCTATGATTATGATAGGATATCATAAAACTGGTGCACACAAACTATTCAATCTAATTAATGAAAAGATTATGTTGAGTTGAGATATTATGATAGATAAAAATTTTGTCTGAGATTAGAATTCTAATGATACAATTAACAAGCCATTGTTGAGTTATGGTCTCAACAAAGAAACTGATGAAGTCAAAGAAATTGTAAATATTCCAGTCAAAGTCGAAGCAGTTACTGAAATTTGAGGTGAACTTCAAGTTAGACACTGCTCAAGTGAAGCACAGTTGACCGATATTTTCACCAAAAGATTGAAGATCGACATATTTCTAAATTTGAGAAAGAAATTTGAAATAGTTCAGATTGACTATTTTTAGAGTATTTCGACAACTTGGATTACGGAGGATATGTTGAGATATTAGACTTAATCCAAGTTGTGTAACCTAAATCTAAGCTCAATTAGAACTTGTTAGCCTACTTAGTGTATAAGTTAAGTGTATATAAATAATCATAATTTATATCATTATTTAATAACAATTCAATTCATAATAAAATCCTTGTTTTCTTTATTCTCTTTCTTTCTCTCCTCACTAAAAGTCTCTCAAACACTAACATGTTGAACATGTCATCAATGTGAGTTCTATGTCATTGAAAATTATTTTCAAATTTGCAAGAGGACTAAAATCCTCACAAAAAAAAAACTAAAATAAAGGAACTATAATTCTAAATTTTAAAATAAAGGAACCAAAATCCAAAAAATAATAATAAGAAGACTAAAATTACAATTAAGTCTTTTTAAAATTAATTCTATTTAAAGATAATATTTATAATTTTTTAATTTAAACATTTTACAATAAAATTTATTATTCAAGTCATTATTGCAAAATTTATTTTTAACATAAATTATTTTGCATCAGTTCAATTTTATCCAAAATTAATTTTCCATAATCAATTCTCGCAAAATTAATTTTTTTTACCCCATGACAAAACACATACATATACACTAAAGGTTAAAATTATAATACTGAAAATGTTATTTATGAGAATATTATTAATAAAATTTTTACTCGTTTATATGTTTGGTGAGTAATTTAAGTTTATTTTGGTGAGTAATTTAAGTTTATTTTGGTGAGTAATTTAAGTTTATAGAAATATTTATAAAATATATTTAATTTAAATTTTAAAATAAATAATAAATGAATTAAAATATTTAAAAGTAGAAAGTTATAGGTGGTTAGTTCTTATTTCCACCCTATAACATGAGAGTAAAAAGTAACAAAACCATATGAAAAATAAATTTATGAAAATAAAAAGCTTCAAGGTGGAATAAAAAATATTTCAGCCTATATTCCTGAAAATAAATTTATAATTCAAGAAACAAACGACCCCTAACAATGTTTTAAAATCCAGATGAGTCATTGACCCAATCAAGTTATTATTAGATTAATGATCGAACCAGTGGAACATCGGTTAAACTGCATGAATTCCAATAATATCTAAATATAGTTTTATTTTTCTTTTGTAACAAAATTTTTTTTCAAAACTTTTGTTAGTTTATAGTATAATTATATCGTATGATTAATTTTATAACATTTTAAATTTATTATATTATTATATTATATAATTAATAATAAAGAAATTTAATGAGAATATTAATGTTGTAATTATAGAATATATAACTTTTTTTTTATTAAACATCAAAAAAATTCATGGTGTAGTTGATAAAATTACAGTCCTAATAATTTTGAAAGGTTATATGTCTGATTTTTAAAATTTGATAAATTTTCATTTTTATAATTTTAATATTATTTAATAAATATAATTATAAATAATAAAATCAAATTTTAAAACAAAGACATCAAAACTTTATAAACGAAAATAGGAGATCAAAATTATAATTAAGCTAAATAAATAAACATAAAAAAATTAATTCGTCAGATCAAAAAACTCACCGGTTCACTGGTCTGACCAGTGAACCAATCGGGTCACACCGGTTTTCACTCTCTGGTTCACAGTCTAACCGGTCCGACCGGCCAGAACAATCCGGGTTTTAAAATTATATGCCTCTAAGATGAGTGGATTTCTTACCACTCAAATAAAACACGTGTCTATCCATGATCCCGATTTTAGCATAAAAAATAATACAAATAATAATTAAAATGTTGAATCTTGACTTTGTTCCATTTTTGAAAGATTGTTGTTGAATAATCCACATCAGGGCTGCAAAAGTTTGCAAATAATGTGAGCCAGACACATGGAGTTTATTACATTTTCTTATGATCCCTCGATTGGTCCTCCAAAAATACAGCATTTATCTGAAACATTCTGCTGGTGTGTATTTTTTATTTTGGCAGATTTGAGTATATAGAGGATGAAATAAAGAGTTTTCTAGAATATCAGTTTTTTAACCTCTTTGGGGAAAATGGTGTTGACCTGTTTTTCTTCTTCCAGAATCTGTACATATTCGTGTCTACTCAAAAGCAGTAGAAATAAACTTAATGCAACTAGACCTGAAAATATCACACATACAAATGCTCAATCTGTGCAACCAAACAACAGACAAAACACTAAACAGAAAAACCTTGTTACACAAAAGTGCTCCCCTCGAAACAAGATGGGCGTTTAAAACTCAGACGAATGCAATTCAGTCCATGTAACTGAAACAGCTTCTTGTGTCGAGCTCATTTGCGACGTCTTTGGGTTATTATATCTGGGTTGCCTTTCCTCATCATGGCTACAAACTCATCATAGTTAATTCTCGCATCCTGCATATACGATAACTATGATATTAAATGTGTCGCTTGATTCATGTATTGGCTATGATTCTTTAAGGAGCTAGTTGGTGGTTTAAACAAGGAAGTAACATACATTATCTGTATCGACCTCGGCAATGATCTCCTTTATTGTATTCTCATCACCCATATTATACTTCTTAAGAGCAGATTCTAGTTCTTCCTTTGTGATGTACCTTTGAAACCAGAAGAACAAAGAAGAAAACCTGTTAAGTCAACATCTATGGCGATTACGTTGTTAAACTAAAAGTTATTAACTGAAAAAACTAAAAGTTATTAACTGAAAATACCCGCTCTTATCTTGGTCAAAATATTCAAAGGCTTTATATAAGTGATCCTGTCTTTCCATTCTATTCATATGCATTGTTGCGGTTATAAATTCAATATAATCGATGGTTCCATTGCCATCCACATCGGCCTGAAAACCAAATAATTTTTTGTGATCTTAAAATCAAGAGAAATGGTAAAAGCTAGTAATCGAATATCATGCAGCTCTGAAGATACTATCTATATCCAAGGCGTTGTTAAGCAGAGATATACACTCTTACCGCTTCCATCAACTGCCTTACTTCAGACTCGGACATTTTACTACCGAGTTTAGGGAGGCCAGCTTTCAACTCTTCAAAAGTGATTGTTCCACTGTTGTCTGTATCCATGGATTTGAACATTTCCTTCAACCCAATAATTTCTTCTTCAGAAAGATTCTCGGCGATAACCTGTAATAAATAAAATACATATGAGATGTTATTTATTAGAAGATTGATTATGATGTTCATGACAGCAAAATGATTATATAGGATAGTTTACCTTCAGAGCTACTTTCTTTAGCTTGTTCATTGCCCGGAATTGTTTCATTCGGCTTAAAACGGCGATATCAAGAGGCTTGTCAGAAGCATCTCCATCTACTCTCATCCAAGGATGATCTGGAATATGTAAAACATTGTTAAGAGTCTCACATCGAACAAAGCCGATTTTATAGGGATGAGTTAGGTCAAACCAATCCCACTTTCTTTACATGGTATCAAAAGTCTGGTTTAAGATCTGCTGGGTCACCTGCCATCAGGTTTCCGCTATCGGGCCATCAAATGTAAACCATTTTTGGTATAAAACAAGTCACTTTTTGTATACTAGAAGAATCTGACTTACTGAGTACTTCAACTGCTGTAAGTCGTTCTTTGGCGTCATCTCGTAGCATCTTCTTGACCAGATCTTTGGCACTACTTGATATAGAAGGCCAAGGATCCGACGCAAAATCAATATGTCCACGAAGAATAGCATCAAAGATACCCTGTTCATTTTCTTCACACCATAGATAAGAACAAGGTGTGAAAAAACATCGGGATGTTACAAAAGCATGTAAATCAAGGTTCAAGAAAATAAAACTTGTATATACAACACAAAAATGGATTTGATGAAATCAACAGTCACTACAGTCAATAATCTCAACACAATGATTGAGTTTTCGTGTTCCCCACTTTCCTAAGACATGATGTGAGTTAAAGGAAGGAGGTTTCACCTGCCCAGAAGGGGGGAACACCAGAAAGCAGAATGTATAATATGATTCCGGCACTCCAAATATCAGCTTCAGGCCCATAACTTCTACGCAGCACTTCAGGGGCGACGTAGTAGGCACTCCCAACAAGATCTTTGAACACATCTCCTGTTTTTATATATATTAAAAATTAGATTTCTCATATCATATCCCATCTAATTCATCTTACGTTCAGTAGCGAACATCTGAAGCGTGACCCAAACCAATGATCTTAAATCAAATCTTATACCATCTTAGATTTTTATATTGAGTTGAACACATTACGACAAAATTGAACTCAAGGAAATCCATTAATCACATTTTACATTAATAAGTAATAACCTATGAAGCAATGACACAAACACTCAACACTATATTGACACTAACATGCAAATACCAGTAGTAACTTACGAAAAAAGAAAATGATCGAATATAATCACATGTGCCAGTGGCATGTCAGAGTTGGACATTGTCACGTGCCAGACACCAGACATTCCTTTAATACACATGGACATTATCACGTGCCGGACACATGACATTCCTTTAATACACATGTACATTGTCACGTGCCGGACACCAGACATTCCTTTAGTAGACATCGACATTGTCACGTGCCGGACACCAACACCAGAGACTCCTTTAATACACAGTATTGATGCTACATAGGTAATAGCTAACAAACTCTTTCATTAATCACACACTATATAAGTCTAGGAATTAACAAACACTAAGTTAAGAAAATGAATTTACCTGGTTTGAAAAACACCGAGAGACCAAAATCAGTGGCCTTAAGAGGCGAGTTCTCATCCTTACCAAGGAACAAGAAATTCTCAGGCTTCAAGTCTCTATGCATGACTCCCATACTATGACAATTATGAACCACCGTAACAATCTGTCTACAAATATTCGCCGCGGCGCGTTCGGAGTAATGTCCCTTGATAATTATCCGATCAAAAAGCTCTCCGCCGGCACAAACCTCCATCACAAGGTTAACAGAGTGGCGATCCTCATAAGCACCTTTGAGCTCAACAACGTTACGGTGGCCGGTAAGATGATGCATGATCTGAACCTCACGGCGAACATCATCGATATCGTCACGGTTGATGAGTTTGCGTGTGGCGATTGATTTGCAGGCGAATTGTTCCTTGGTGACTCTGTGGGTTACCAAATAAGTAACGCCGAATTGGCCACGGCCGAGTTCACGGCCGAAGGTGAAGATGGAGCGGACGTCTTCCATGGGGCGGCCGAGGATGCGGCCGAGGGAGGAGGATAAGGGAGGTTGAGGTGGTGAGGGCGTGGCGTTTTGAGGGAGGATTGTGGGGAATTTGTGGGTGGTGGTGGAGGTGTTGGTTCCGGCGCCGGCGCCGGTGCTGCAGTTGCCACCCATTGAGTTGAAGTCAATGAAGTAGAGTTGTCGGAGAAAAGGAGAAGAAAAAGTGTGTCGTGTTTTGCGACGAGGTTGCCGGCACAACAAGGACTAAATTGGTCTTTTTTATGTCTTAATATTAATTAATTGAATTAATTGAAAATGCAATTAAATAAATAACGAAACAAATTTTAGTGTTATCTTGCCTTAAAAAAAAAATGGTGTTACCTTTTGTGTAATATAGATAACTTCATAGAAACAAGTAATATTATGATTATTATTATTTTTTTGGTGTTACATGAATGACTGGAGCGTGATATATTTGAACTTTGTATTAGTATAAGTTAACGAGTTTACGAGGGATTAATGAGTTGAATAACACTTACACTCATATTTATGGTAGATTCGGTTACACTCGTACAGATTTAGATAGATTTGCAAGTTTGACGTAGACAATTTTTAAAGTTTAATGCGATGTCGGATTTCTGTTTCACTGAAAAATTAAACTTAGAATTGTCTCTAGTTCTTGTTGCACTTTCCCGTCCTCTTGCAGAATAATCTCGCATCTCTTGTAATTTCACATTCACTCTTTAGTTTGTTTTCGATATTGTTCCACGCTTTACTCTTTGTGTGGTATTGTGTTTCATGAGCTGAGTTGAAAATAATGTCTCTATAAATATTCAAGACAATCAGTAACACAAATTCAAGAGACCTAAAAGAATAGGTGGTGAAAATCTCAATTGGATCCATTGTCTTAAATGCAATTTTTTTAAATATATTCAAGCTAAATGTTCGAGCTTTCCAAAAAAACAAAGAAGAATCTACAATGTCACTAATGACGCAGAAGGTGAATCTAACGAAGCAGACAATGTTGTGACCTTTAAAGACACTAGTGCAGAAATGACTTTTTACATCGGGTGAAACTGACTTTTTACATCGGTTCTGAGTCCGATGTAAAGTCAGGCGATATAGTAAATCAGGGACTTTTTACATCGGTTCTGAGACCGATGTAAAAAGTCCCTTTTTTACATCGGTTATAATATAAGAACCGATGTAATAAACTGTTATTATGCACATTTTTTAAAAAATGTATCCAGTTTTTTACATCGGTTGGAAGTACTACCCGATGTAAAAAGTCCTTTTTTTACATCGGTTATAATATATGAACCGATGTAAGAAACAGTTATTATGCACATTTTTAAAAAAAATTGATCTAGTTTTTTACATCGGTTGGAAGTAATACCGATGTAAAAAGTCCCCAGTGACGTGACTTTTTACATCGATTATTATCCCCAACCGATGTAAAAAGTCCCTTTTTGAAAGTTTTTACATCAGTTTTTACTAATAACCGATGTAAAATGTATGAAATTTTTTTGGAATAGATTATTTATTTTCTGGATGTTTCCCTGTACAAATATAATTTGTACCCATTTTTTCATATTTTTCCAATATCACACAGACTATATTTATGTCGCTATATAGATTTCATAGCTTTCCAACATCACATATATCACATCTAGATCGATGTTTTCATATTTTTCACAACAAACTTACAAATTGAACAATTGTATTGCAAACTTGTATTGTATTACAACAAACAAACTTACAATTACAAATTCTTCACAAAATATACAACAATATTCAACTATTTATAAGTCTTTTTTCAAAACTTACAATTACATATTATTCACAAAATATACAAAAATATTCAACTATTTATAAGTTTCCAAACTTAAATTACCAATATAAAATCTTCGGTAGACAACACCAAAATCACATTGCCTGACAATAAATAATAACAATTAACATCAGCAAAAAAATCAAGAAACTCAAATGTGCAAAAACCATATGTACTGTGCAAAAACCACAACTTATACAATTCTATAAAACTCACCAAGATAAACTTAATTTGCATGTAACTCAAAGAAACATTTTGCCCAACGAAGTCGCAAATCATACAAATCATCTTGTGTTAATTCTGTTGGGTCATCAAATACCTATAATACATAAATATAACAATATAGAGTTAATTTTTAAAAATTCATATTAAGTCGAAAAATAAAAAGTAAATAACAAAGTAAAGTTATTTTTAGTACCTGCATCCAATTCTCGGTTATATTAGCAGAGACAATATCCAACATATTTTTCATCACATAGTATCCACAATCATTAGAATTATGTTGTTGCCTTGTCTACAATTGAATGACATAATTAGTGAATACTTATCATAAATTTAACTATATAATTACAATTTACATCACACTTACATTGGAATGAAGCCATGTAGCATTTTTTCTATTTCCATTTGCCATTTGATGAATCCCAAAAGAACTAATACAGAAAGATAAACATCACATAGCTAAATTTACTCGCCAATGAAAAATGACATGACTATTAGTTGTCAATGAAAGTCACATGAAAGATAAATTTACTTTGTAATAATTTTCTTCGTGTGATTGTCAATTTCTCGATGAAGTGAACAAAATACGACAACTAAATTGTCTCTTGGACACATGACTATTAATTGCCAATGTCTCCTGTACGTGTGTGTGGAAACAGAAAAGTCACATAAAATATATATGTTATCAAAATTAAATAATATAAAACACAATTATATATAAATACTTACCCATGAATTAATGGTAGTAAGTGGCACACTCTGTTTTCATCACGTAACTTTTGTAGTACGTAATTTTTAACATCTTCTTGAGATTTCGCTACACTATCATTATAAATACACCTAGCAGGGTCCATAAATCCATATAATTCTGAAATGGAATTCTCAAGACAAACACGATGAATATACCTGAATAATTTTAAAATAAACATTACAATCAAAGTGATGAGAGATATGACATATTAATATAAATTGACTTTAATAAAACAATAAAATGTACTTACGTGCATCAAATTTGCAGAATAGACACGTCAAGCCAATGACCTAAACCCACCAATAACTCTTTGATACATTTAGCTGAAACATAGAAATTAGAGACACTCGCACAATGACTTAATTGTATTGTCAAATGGTTATCATCCATTTTCAAAATCATGAGTAACAATCTCTGAACATCATCAACTTCCACGTCTTTTGTGCTCTCTTTTGTGCTTCCCTTTGCAGCTGAACAACTTCCTTTTCCGCTTCCATCGATAATTTCCAATTTTTCAATGCATTTATTATCACCTGTGCTTTGTGATAAACCCATGGACTTAAGTGTCTTCATTAATGATTGTTGAAACATCTTACGCTCTTCAACCAACTTTTCTTCAAGTTCAGCTCTAAGTTTTGCTTCCAATATTACAAGTTGTTCATTTACGTCGATATGTTGACGTGATCTTCCAAAGTAAGTGCTTTGTTTATGGTGTTTTCTAACACCACGAACACGACCTCCATGCTCAGATGTTCCAATGGCTAATGATAAGTTATCGTTACGTCCATCCGGAATAATTGCACCTTTTTCAGCTTCTTGAACTAGAGAATCCTACAAAATGCAAAAACATCAATTAATCAATCACAAATATAATGATACTTGAATAATTTTTCGTTGTTTACTTACAATTTTTTCAGCAACCTCTTGTGTAGATTTTAATGTGTATTCTCCTCCTTTCTTTTGTCGTGTTCTCTTCCATAACTCATGGCGTGATGGTGGAGATGGACTATCATTATCATCTAATGTGGAATTATCTCTCGATGATGACTTTTCTTTCATAATTTTCTCCTCAAGTAAGCGATACCCTCCACGAGACAATACGTGTGGGTATACATTCTTGGCCACATTATCCTTACCCTTCTGACTTTTTTCCTATTATAAACTCAAACAAGTAATTAATCACTAAATATAATAAAAATGTTATGCACACAAAAAAATATAACTCTTACTAACCTTAAATTCAGGGGTATCTCGAATCTTGAGAAACTCTTTCCATGCGTCTTCCGTAATAAAGTTATACTTGACATATGGAGGAGGATCATTTTCTATGGGATGATGAATATATCTATCTGTGAGTTGTGTCTTAAAACCTCTCCATCGCTCTCCCGCATATTTAATCCATTCTTTCTTCAACCTATCCTTCTTTGGATCTTTACATTCTGGAATAGTAAAATGAGCCTACAAATATAGTATATGTCATATGTTGTTAATTAGTATATGATTGTAAAATATAATAAACTATTGTATTTAAAATACCTGAATATCAGTCCAAATAGCATCTTTTACGCCTTCATCTACTTCTTTCCAATCATTTTTCACAATACTACAATACTGTCGAGCAAGAGATGCTATATAACTCTTGAAATGTGTAGCATTTTTACCAACACCAATACATTCATAGGTTCTTGCATTAAACTCGACCTTTATCTTTTCACCTGTTTGATGAACTTTGTCAATTTGTGTCATTAAAGTGGGACCTCTAACTCTTCTTTTATTGGGGTTTGAATCACCCATGTATCTGTTTACACAAAACAAAAATAATTAGAAATAATATTAAGCACAAAATAAAAACAATTAGAAATAAAATTAAGCACAAAATAAAAACAATTAGAAATAAAATTAAGCACAAAATAAAAACAATTAGAAATAAAATTAAGCACAAAATAAAAACAATTAGAAAATAAAGTAACGTGGAATTAACTTATACAAAAAATCTTACTAGTCCTCCCATATCCCTTCTTCATGGTCTATGCAAATAGCATGCACATCATCCCCTTCATTTTCTTCAATGAATGTAGTCACATTTGTTGAGAAAGGATGAGTTTCAGAAATATCAAGATTCTCATCATGATTTTCATCACTATCATGGACCTTTCTTTGTAAGACCACTGACCACTTTTTATTAGAAGAATCTGTGACATAAAACACTTGTTTTGCTTGAGATGCCATGATGAATGGTTCGTTCGCATAAGCTAACTTGCTAAGATCAACCAGTGTAACTCCAAATTCATCGATTCTGACACCATTGTTGATATCAATCCATTTGCATTTAAATACAGGAACTTTAAACACAACATAATTAACTTCCCA